GAGCGTCGTGCTAATAACGCGAAGGTCGTGGGTTCGATCCCCCCATGGGCCATCTTTTTTTTTAATAAATCAATATCAAATTTATTATGGTACTTAACGAACATTATATTCAAATAAGTTTTTTCAAATTCACAGAAAAATGTATTCATTTTTAGTTCTTTCTTCGATTAAATCAACACCATCCTAAACATTTTAAATACATTCTAATAAATAAAGTTGTATTAATTTTAAGATCTTATAAATTACTACTTGTAAGTGATACAAAGAAATTGAGAGCAAAGTAACTTTACTTTGCTCTCAATTTCTTTGTATTTTGAAACTTAGATTGTGCCTTATACAGTGTCCAGGATAAGGGATAGGACAGCATAAGGATCTAGGAAACGGCTCAAATTGGAAAAAGTAGTTTTTTTTTAAACTAAATAATATGCCGTTTAGAATGTTTTAAAATTCCAGGTAGTTCCGGAGATATCCGGAAAAATCCGAAATTTTGCAAAATAGTTTTTATTTTATTTGACAACGAATTTTAAAATAAATTGCATATTTACATTGCCACTTTTATCGCTCTGTCCAATGGCGTAAATATTTTTGCAATCCGACGTTTCGTCTTCGAGGGGCCATCATCAGGTTAATTTTTTTAAATACGTCGCTGCTATTTTTTCTTGACAAAATCTAGTCATTATTAATTCTGAATTAAATGATATTACCATTGTAATCGCGTTTTTAAAAGGTTTTTAGCTTGTTCTAGATATCATTTAAAATTTTTCCTGAGTACGGCTCTGAACGCTTTCAAAATATCTATTGGAGAAAGTGATAACAGCATAAAAGTCAATACATCACGAAATATCCAACATTTTTTTTATCAATAATTTAAAAAGTTGTACCTAATAAAAAAATAATACGAATTTATGAAATGTTTCATTATTTCTAATTAGTATTGCTAATAGTAGTTAAAAAAATTGACTTTTATACTGTGATGACTACCAAGTCCAATCGATGTTTTGAAACCGTTCAGAGCCCCACTCAGGAAAAATTTTAAATGATAGCTAAAACAAGCTAAAAACCTTTTTAAGCGATTAGAATAGTAATATCATCTAATTCAGAAAGAAAAATGACTTTAGATAAAAATAGCAGCGATGTATTTAGAAAAATTAACCTGATGATGGCCCTTCGAAGACGAAACGTCGGATTGCAAAAATATTGACGCCATTGGACAGAGCGATAAAAGTGGTAATGTAAATATATGCAATTTATTTTAAAATTCGTTTTGTTTTCAATTAAAACCAGAAAAAAAATAAAACGATTTTGAAAAATTTCTGGTTTTTCCGAATATCTCCGGAACTATCCGGAAATTTAAAACTTTCTAAACGGCATATTGTTATGTATAAAAAAATACAAGTTTTTTCTAATTTGAGCCACCCCGTATCTCTTACCGTTTCCTAGATCCTAATGCTATCCCATCCTTATCTTAGACACACTGTATATCTGAAAAGGCACATAGTGCCTAGTCAAGGAGATCTTTATCTCAAAAAATATATTTTAGCAAAAATAAACAAAAAACTAAATAAATATTTGAGTTTAACGTTTGTCAAAGGTTCACACTTCAAAGTTCGTACAAGTACTTAATAAACACCCTGTATAATAGAGCTCACTAGTGAGTGAATGTCATTCTCTTTTCGTGCACGCACATCCCAATTGACGTTTGGTAATTTAGAAATTTACATTTGACAATATGAGTATGAGTTGCCAGTAACGTGCGGTGTTTGATATTTTTAATTTTTACTGAAAATACCTGCCAACACGTTTGACAGTTTATTTAAAAGTTTAATGTTCATTATGGAATTAACTTTATTTTGTGCGGAACTAAATTCAACAGTTTGATAAATTAATACTTTTTTCAGTGACTAACTTGTATTTAGGATAATTTTTGTCACATATTCCATTTGAAAACTTATGCAATGTTCGCCAAATTCCGACGTAATCACTCGTGTGCCTATACTTTACTTTTTGTCCATTGTAGTCATTTTGTGCTCAATATTTGTAGCCCATTCTTACCATAGAAATAATATTTAAGACATAATAAAATCAGGATCCATATTATCTAACCTAAAGTTTTATTTTAACTCAAGCTATCATATAAACAGGTAATAGTCTTGAAGCTAGTGATATCCTATATACAGAATAGCACCTATTATAGTAATTCGTTAGCCCAGAACTATCACTTTCTTAATTGTTTGAAAGTGTCCAAATTTTACTAAGGTTTTATTTTATGTGTAACATCGCAATCGTATTATTTACATTTTAATACGACTCTTGATTTTTACATTTTGTTAAACCGTTTTCAGCAGTGATTTGTATATTTTGGATTTTGTTGAATTTTCTCTAAAAGTACTAGAAGCCGGCACTGGATCTTCCATACGATAGAAGTTTTTCGCAACTGGCCCATTAGCTCAGTTGGTTAGAGCGTCGTGCTAATAACGCGAAGGTCGTGGGTTCGATCCCCCCATGGGCCAACTTTTTTTAAAAATAAATTTAACATTTAATACTATTATTATTAACTTTAAGGATTATAGTTTGTATTTATATGAGGTAGATAAAAATTAATGTTTCATCAATTCTTTAATCAACGAGCAAATAAAACTTTTGCTTTTATTACACTTAAAAATGATTTGACTAGAAAAAACTATATTATTATTGTTTTCAATGCGTCTGATTCAATTTTATTAAAAATTTAATATCAGGTGCTTTATTTGTGAGCGAAAGTTAATTGGCGGAATTTGTTCAAATTAAAAGCATCCGATATGGTCTAGTGGCTAGGATACCTGGCTCTCACCCAGGAGGCTCGGGTTCGATTCCCGGTATCGGAAATCTTTTTTTTTTTCTTAAAGTACATTTAAAGTTATTTAGACTTGATTTAAATATATTTTTTTAAATATTTTTACTAAAACCTGAGATATTTTCTAAAAACTCTGCCAAGAACTAAACATTAAACATTATGAAGGCCTATACAGGATGAGTCGGGAGAATAACATCAAACTCCAGGAATGGATACTACACGTCAAAACAATAAGAAAAAACTCGAATTACAAATTTCAAATATTTGAAATCGGGGTGTGTTATGATCCAAGTTCAAAAATAGGATTATTTATCAGTGTTATTTTATGTTGCATTTGATTACCTACACGTTTCTACGTAAATTTTGTATTGATATTAAGTGATATACGTTTTATTATAAAATAAAGGCTATCAATGAAAGACTTAACTTATTTATTTTAAATGCCTTTTATCTCAATGAAAACTATGTAGCTTTTGAAAAATTGTGGCTTTGTTGCATTTTTTAAATTTGAAAAATTAAATATTTGTTATTTTGCATATAAATTTAAATTGAAACTTTTTTGCATCGACATTATAAGATTCAAATATATTTCGCTTTCCTCTATCGATTAAAGCAAACATCATCTATTTATCTGTTGTAGAAGTTGAGAAAAAGTCGATTGAAGTTGCGCGAGTGAATTATGCTACTCCGCTCGCATAGTCCCCCCACTCCTCACTCTTTGGCTCTCTGCTCGATTCCTATGAAATGTATCAATCTTTTTTGCATCAGAACATTTCCGATTTAAACAAATTTTCATAGTTATAAAGTCTTTGCGTCAAACAATCAAAATCACTCTTGATTGTTACTGTACAGTACGTTGTTTTGCCGTAAACTCACTTCAAATTTGAGTTGTCATATCTCGATGACGATTCATCGTATCCACAAGATCAGATGTGGATTTTGTTCGTCAACCCTTCCTCTATTTGCTCCTATCATTACATTTGAAGAATATGCAAATACGGTAGCTCCAGCTCTAAATGTTTATTTTTTCGAAGAAATTTTGAAAAAATCATAATTGTTGCTAAAATGGATAAAATCGAAAATTTTTAAATGGGATTGATAGTTGAGACTCCAAAGGGTATGTATAAAATTTGGGAGCTCAAAATAACCATTGGTTTTACCGTGAGAATTGAAAAATAAGTATAATTCTGTATTTTCTTAATTAAACAATTCAATTATGCGAAATTTACCTGGTCGATTTCGATGAAAAAATTTCTGCAATACTACCATATCATGAAGTACCCAAAACTATACTTTTTATATGGCTGCTCTAAAATCAAGGTCCGAAATAAATTCATGAAGAAAACGATCTTTTTTCACGAATTATTTTTCGGTCTATAAGGTATTGCAACAACAATAATGCACATAAAAATTTTAGACCACCTTTATTTTAAAGAGAATCTCAAAACGAAACTTTTTCTTGTAACTGTTTTCTCTAATGTCAATTTCCTCCAAGTTATACATGAAAGAAAACAGAAAAATACGCTTTTTTTAAAAAAATTTACATATTTTTTTGCGTTAACAATTATGCACAACTTTTTCAGCGTGCGCATATCGCAATTGTCATTCTACGTAATATTTAGAACTATTTCCATCAAAAATTATCGTTACTACATGAAACACCCATACAACCTACTTTTAAAACAGATATCGACTGGATTAAAACCATTTCTGGAGTTTAGCGCGGTTCTTCCGACTCACCCTCTTATGAGCACATTCCTACCTTCCTATTAATGTAAGACTTAAATGAGTTTGGGTATATCTAGCAGCATTTGAATTTAGTATTTGATTGCATCAGTATATTTCCTATACTTTATGCAGTGTGGAACATATATTGTAACTAACTTAAAAAGTTTAAACAATTAAGAATTTTTGTAAACTTCAATGGTAACTTTTTAAATTAATTTAGAAATAAACGTAACTGTTTTCTCAATATCATCGATTAGTAATGTCTGGTTAGAGTCTAATTAGTACAAGGTTGAATATTGTGTACCAGATGAATAGCAATGCAATCTCTGTATTCATCAATTTTTATCAAGCGGGTAAAACTATTTATCGTTTATGGTTTATCAGTCACGTTTTCTTTAAATCTTATCAATCTCTTCAACTGTATTAGCTTAATACTCACTCTTTCGATTCCCCGCTGATACTGTACAATGTCTTGCTTTCCTGGCCGTCTTTTTTGTCTGAAAAGAGAAAGAAAACAAACTTCGTCAATAAAATTTTTATAAAACTTGAAAATACATTTTAGTTTCTATGTCTGTACCCATAAAATGTTTTTAAGAAGCAATTATACAGTTTTCAAACGTTTTTACTAATACTGACAAGGAGTAAGTAGTGGTCATAACTATACCAGTTTATTTTAGTTTAAACTAAACAAAGCGATATTTATGTTGCGTGGAAAACTTGCATACATTCAGCGTATACAGTGATAAATGCAATATTCCAGGAAACAACTAATTTTATTTTAGGCATATTGCAATGAATCTATGAAATGTGAATGTCTCCAATTTTAATTTTTTATGAATAATAATACTATTGTTTCTAGGAATTATGTGATTTTCTAACGTAATTTGATACAAAAACCATTCGCTAATTTTTACAATTTCTAATAGTACGGGGTCTGTTCAGAAAACTATTTAAACTATGCGCTAATGGAGATGTGTGATAGGCGGTTGACAGCATTGCGTTGAGAGTAACGTCTTGGATTGTTAATATCTTATCTAGTTTTCTTGATATTGTTGTTATAAGTGTGTGATTTTCTAGAACAACGATGTAAGGTAAAATGTTGCGTGGAATAGGGGAAAATTATCACGGAAACGTTCCAACTTTTGAAACAAGCTTACAGAGATGATGCTCTGGGTCGTACGCAATGTTACGAATGGTTTTCACGATTTAAAAGTGATCGTCAGTCAACTGAAGATGATCCTCGACCAGGAACGCCTACGACTTTAACTGATGACTCCCAACTAAATTTGTTCCTCGTTTAATGACCGAAAAACGGAAAGTTTCAGGTTTTTATGAATTTTTATAATACAGTATTAGAAAAACCAATTGAATAATGGAAATCATTAAATTAAAGAAAAAATATTTTTTCTTAAATGGAACACCCTATATAATTACTGCATACTTAGCATCGTTAAATTTTCCTCTTTTCAAAAAATATATAATATGTTACTGTTTGATTCAGGACTTTTCGACATATTTCAATTTAAAACAATTTTTGAAAAAACAGGAGGGAAATACGTCTGACGCATCGCACTAGCTATGGACGAGGCACGCGGTACAAACAAATGAGTGATATAAGTTTATTTATCATCATTCATTTATTTCCTATAACAAACTATTTTAACAAAGAACTAATGTTTAGTGAGAACGAAAAATTTGAAGTTATCCGTTTATTTTATGATAATAATAAAAATCATTCTCAACATCAAAAAGTCTTAACTTTAAGAAAATACTAATGGCTGTACCGCTAATACAAAATTGTTGTAGCTATTTGGATACAACTGACCTTAGTTAACTTGTAAATGAATTTGAATATTTTAATATCTTTAAAAATGAGTTGCTAAAATCACTTAATCCAGACATAACAATCGAACTTTGATTTAATCAGTAGCACGTATTGATAAAATTATTATTTTAGGAATTTTATCATTACTAATAATGCCTATAATATACTTAATATGACAAAAAATATACATTATTAGAGTTATCACTACTTCAAAATAAATGTTTAATTTATTATCCTTGTGGGAAATAATTTATGGTTGTTTAATTTTACAGTTTGCAGATTAATAAAATAGGTTAGACAATATTTAAATTTCAATCATTCCCAAGACGGATGTTTAAATTAAAATGGATGGGTATTATTTTAATATTTAGTCTTAAACCAAACAAAACAAAGAAACATCCCAACAAAATTTCCAATGAAAACTAGCAAAATTTTGCATATTGAACCACTTTAAAAAAAATGTCCAATGAATTGAAACACTTTTAAATGGAGAGAAATTAGAACACTACATTTTAAAAATGGTGTTCTTTGATATAAATTAATACAAAAATTTCAAAAAAAAGCATAGCAAAATCTATGAGGGTGCCATCCCCCAAATTTTTTTAAATGGGAATGGGGGTCAAGTGGGGGGTCATTAGAAAGGGCTTTTAATTCTCTATACATCGATTCTTACTTTTTGAAAATCGATCCATTATTTTAGAAAATATGCAGCTTTGAAAATACGAACAATATTTTTGACGAGAAATGCGAAAATCGATTTAATTTTACTTCAAAACTTACGGTATTAGCTTGGTAAATTCCTTCAAAAGAATTCTTTTTTTTTTTCTGATTTGCGAATTCTTTAGCCTGATTTTGGTGAGCAAAAAATTGTCCGCTTTTTGTTTCGTATTTAGATAGGCCACAAGAAGTTGCTAGATAACTGTCTTGTGACTTGTAGTTGAAGAGTACCAATACTGCCGAGTCTTTTAAATTGATTAATTATGGTGTACTCAATTCCAGAAAGAGTAGAAATTATTGAGCTTTTTTTCAAAAACAATGAATGCGGAAATCGGGTCGCCGAACTGTTCAACCAACGGCATCCTGAGAAACATGCGTCTGGAAAAATTGTTCGCGAATTGGTGGCCAAATTTCGCGAAACTGGCTCCGTTCATAACAAAAAGAGGCAGGTTGAAAATCCGGTACTAAATGAACCTACGGAAATAGCGGTATTGGGGCAAGTGGCAATGGATAGTACGCTGAGTACAATGCAATTGGCTACTGCGACAGGAGTGAGTCGTACAAGTGTCCAACGAATATTAAAAAAATACAAATTCCATCCTTATAAGATTCGGCTAGTGCAAGAGCTAAATGAAGACGATTTTGATCGTCGTTTGCAATTTTGCGAAATAATGACTGAACGAGCGATAAACGATAATTTCCTCTTTAATGTGTGTTTTTCGGACGAGTGTACGTTCTTCTTGAATGGTTTAGTGAATCGCCATAATTGTCGTTACTGGGCTGATACCAATCCAAGGATTTTCCATGAGACACACTCCCAACACCCCCAGAAGTTGAATGTATGGGCAGGTATTTTTGGAAATTCCATTGTAGGTCCTTTTTTCCTTCCTGGAAATTTGACAGGCGATATGTACTTGGATTTACTACAAAATGTCATCGACCCAGCTCTAACAAATATCATAGAGGACGACCCTGCTTACAATGAACACGAACTGATTTTCCAGCAAGACGGAGCTCCTCCACATTACTCGCTCAATGTGCGCAATTACCTAAATGAGACGTTTCCAGGACGCTGGATAGGACGAAGAGGTGCAATTGAGTGGCCCCCTCGGTCACCCGACTTAAATCCTTTAGATTTCTTTCTCTGGGGGCACATTAAAAGCAAAGTTTACAGCACTCCACCTGATACCTTGGAAGATCTGCGAGGACGAATCATTAATGTATGTCGCGAAGTAACACCGCAAGTGCTCCAGAATGTTCGACAACGGTTTGAAGACAACCTGTATCATTGTATGCAAGTTGGCGGACAACATTTTCAGCATTTACTTGACTAATACCGTAAGTTTTGTAAAATTAAATCGATTTTCGCATTTCTCGTCAAAAATATTGTTCGTATTTTCAAAGCTGCATAATATATTCTAAAATAATGGATCGATTTTCAAAAAGTAAGAATCGATGTATAGAGAATTAAAAGCCCTTTCTAATGACCCGCCACTTGACCCCCATTCCCATTTGAAAAAATTTAGGGGATAGCACCCCCACTTAGGGTGTTGAAGATTTTGGTATGCTTTTTGAGCCAAAAGTTGTCCCCCTCAGAAACTTTGACCTGTTTTTGGATTTTGCCGAAAAATTCCTTACTACCCTGTAATGCCTTGCGGTACGTTTTCGATTGGCTACCCTGTATTTAAAAAATCCATTGCCCAAAGGTTATTTTGAAGTTACGATATCTGCATAAACTAACTTTTAATGTATAATTTGGCAGACGAATAAAGGGACACTTCATATTTTTGCTTTATTTTAAATATATTATTTTTCCCTAAAGATCCTATCAATTGAAGTCTAAAAAATAATGAAATAAATGGATTTTCTATTAAATTTATTTGAATTATCCTAACAACTTTAAAATAAATTAAAACGAGAACTAAAAATGAAATATGTATTTAAAAAAATAGGCACCTTATAAAAACAACAGTACTTTTCCTAATCACATATTATATTTCTCTTTACTAAAGATACCTAATGCTGAGTAGTTGACAATATAGTTCTGTGGTATTGGAGGGGACCATCTCCAAAAAAATCCTTCCTAGGAAAATCATCAGCGCATACGTGCAGTATTATTAAGTAGGAGACTAATATATATCGTTTCCAAATGAAGGAAAGACAACAATGTGATGTTATTCCATTTCAATATCTACTTCGTTATATGCGAAAATAAGAAGCCAGTGTTGCATACTTTATAGTCTTCATTACTCCAGTAATTTTAAAATTTTATGCTGTTACTTGAATCACCTATTTTTGTTAGGTACTTACTCTTCACAGTTACCTTGGCGTCAAGTTAGTCCGTCATTATAGCAATTTCACCTCCAAAATTACCGTGTCTTCGTGATAGCTTCACAGTAAGTTGGGTATTTCTATTTTATCATTAACATCAATTGTTGTTGGCAGTGATTCATTCTTTATCAATGTCGTGATGTCTATGTCTTTCATATGAAAAACCACCACCGGAATGCAGTCAGTAGAAATGTCTCACTCGCTTGCTTTAGATTTTAAAAGAATTACCACCATTAAGATTAGTAAATAGTATGTCGAACGTTGGTTCGTGTCAACTGCTCCAAAAGTTTATCAGTTTATCATGATGTCCAATTAGTCTGTTATAGTGGCAATTCTACCAACAGAATGTCTTCATGATAGCTTCATAGTAACTTAAAAATTCTTGTTTTATCATCAACATGAACTGTCGTTAACAGTGATTCACTGTTTATCAGTCCAGTAAGTATGTCATAGAAAGAACCACCACCAGAGTGCAGTCAGTAGAAGTATCTCATTCATTTGTGTCGTAGTTTCAAGGAGTTACCACCCTTAGGGTTAGTAAATTGAGCTTTTGCATGCTGAGTGTTAGTCTGTGTAAACTCCACCAAAAGTTTATCAGTTCTTAATAGCTAAGTATATTACCAT